TTCATTAAAACTTATAAATTGTATTATTTTTACTCAACAGAACCGGGTAGCCGATATCAAACTGTTTTGAAAAAAGTTGATTTGTCTCTTGTGCCCAATGATTTGTGCCAGCAGCAATTACGGGGCACGCGTCTTGGGAATYTTTTCCGTTTACATGAAAGTTTTCTTTGTGCCGGTGGCATAAAGGGAGTGGATGTATGCAAAGTAAGCTAATCGATTGTATTTGTTTTGTTCAGATTAGCAGCTCAAGACGTTTTTTTTCTTGTACAGGGCGATGGTGGCGGTCCATTGATATGTGCAGTGAAAGGATACCAAGGGAAGCCTAAAAAATATATTCAAGTGGGTATTGTGTCTTGGGGTATTGGGTGCGGTGATGAAAATATACCTGGTGTATACTCGTCGGTAGTGGTTAATTCTCAGTGGATCAACAAGGAGCTGAAAAGGATAACATCACAATGAAAACGTCGCCTTTTTTTCCAACCGTTGACATTTTAATTTATATTTTATCACATTTTGACCGAGTTATTGATCGAATTTGAGTCGATTTATTTTCCGTTATATTATTACATGGTCATTAATATACTACAATTTTACGCCTTGAACATTTTAACTTTTGTTTTTTTCCTGATTAGTCGACACTCGACAGCAAAGGATGTCCATTGTGAATAAAACTTCTCCTTTGATTTCGTATTGATGTGCATTAATTGGRCTAAAATAGCACGACTACTCGCATTTACCTCCTTGTCTTATATTATTTGAATTCCTTCTCATTCCATAAATACATAGTTGAATTCGTACTAGAGGTTAAAATTTATTTGAAAAGAGCTCGTTTTTTAATAATCATATATTCTAACGCATGTGTGTATAAACTTTTGAGTGTTATTTATAAGCTTACCAAATAAATGTCGTTTTGAAAACAAAAACAAAACAACTAATGAAATAGTAAAATAACTTTTCTGCAATACGCAATAGGTAATTGTTTTTGTGTAATTCACATAATTATAAATCTTAATATTATTGTTAATACGGAAACTCGACAAAGATTTTAAACGACCTTGGAGTATCAAGCCAATTTATCCGGTAATTTATTTTTGGTATCCMCGTCTAGGTTTTGATGCAATTTTTTTTGACAAAAATGTATTTAATTTACTGTAGTACTATAATTAATGATAAAAATTTACCGTAGTACTAAATACTATTGCTGGTCATATTAAAATAAATTACATTAATCACAATAATACATAATTATATTTACTTGGTAATATTATAGTCAGATAGGAGAACGTCTTCACTCAGAATAGTTTTTTGTAAACAATAATTTATTGAATTCAAATTCATCACATCTATTACAGTAACAGACACCTAGATACCTACTTAGTGTACAGCAGACTGTTAAGTGTTAGTGTTAACATATTACAACTATAAGTTTACGAAAATATTCA